ACGAATAACATTGAGAAGTGTGAGAACATAATAAGGATGTATTTGTATATATATATTTGGTATCTATATATGTATATACATATATATATATATATATATATATAGATCAATATAGTAGTGTATATATATATATATATGTATATGGATCTATATAGTATTATATATATTTGGATTTATACACTATAAGTACTTTCTTAGATTTATCTACGTGCGTGGCTATATGTTAGTCTGTTCCATTGAACATGGAAAGTGAATGACATCAAGTTCTTGATGTGTTCTTAAACCCGAAAACCTATATCTGAAATAGGACTCAAATCGCAAGTGCACAATCCAAATTAAGCCTTCCTGCTCCATGACCAGACCCCCTCTCGAATAGGCATATACCTACACATACATACATACATTCATGCATCTATGTAGACAGATAAATAAATATTTGTGCATAGGTGAAAGGAATATACACCTACGGATTAGACAGACGAATAAACATTTGTACATAGGTTATAGACATATACATACGCATACATAAATACATGCATCTATGTAGACTAATAAATGAACACTGTATATACACAACACGCTGATCTCCGGTAGTCTGAATAATAGATACGCACACAACAACCCACACAACATACTTGGTGGCAGTGCCGCGTATGTCTCTCATAGGACCAATCAGGAAGTCAATGATATCAACCGAATGCACCCCAACGTCCATGACCAGTCCTCCGCCCGAGTGTTTGGGTAATAACCTCCAGGGGGTGTCCTGGCCCTCTTTCTGCACCCATTTGGGCTTGAGATGGTTGTACGTGACTGTCATGAGCTCGCCCAGTTTGCCCGATTCGAGTAGAGTCTGCAGGGTTTCGTATGGGATGTGACGGAAGATTTAGCACACGTTTTGGGGTTTGGGGTTTAGGGTTAAATCTGAGAAATTCACACATGCGTACCAATCACACACTAATGTGAATGTCGATGGATTTTCTTGCGAATGCAAGTACTTGTTATTGCCTCAAGTCTGAGTAAGAGCATGTGTGCTCTTGAAAATGGTTGAGCTCGAAATAACACGAACCATTCGTATGTGAATGGGAAATCGAAATAGATCACATAATAAAGCGCAGATCATCTTGAAGCCCATACCTTCGCATGATGAAATAATGTCTACTGTAATCAAGGATACGCCACGTACACCTTTCTAATCTCCTTTGTATGTACATACCAACAACATACCAACAACATACCAACAACATACCAACAGCATACCAACAATATA